AATCCATTAAGCAGACACAAACCACAGACAAAGTGGGGGTGGGGAGGAAGAGATCAGGATCAGCTTCCTCCTGGAGACAGCCTCAGAGCTGGGTCTTAAAGGGAAGGAAGGATTCTCCTAGCAGGCTTAAAAAGGAAAAGCAATCCAGATATGGAGGAATGACCTACACCTCACTGGTCCCTTCATTTGGTCATAAAGTCCTAAGAATTAGTTTAAAAATAAAAGCATAATTGGAAGTCTGTGAATAAAGTGCCTAAAATTCACACCCTTTGACCCAGGGACTCCACTGCTAGGCACAGATCCCAAGACAAGAAGAAAGTTCCCAAAGAACCACAGAAAACCTGAGAGCAGCACTTTTGGTGGGTGCAGAGGTGAAACAAAGTAGATGCCCATGATGGGAGAATTGGCTACACAGTCATAGGAGATGTTACCGTGCTAGAAGAAACTCCAGCTTTGACGAAGACCAAGAGGCATGGAAAGAAGGCAATGAGCTGATGAAGACTGAAGTGAGCAGAGCCAAGCAAGCCCTGGACCCAAGACCACCCAACCAATGGCAATGCAAAGGCCTGCCACCAAATGGCTGAACTGGAACGCGGCAGAAGGTGCCTCTTGTGCAGGGGCAGAGGTCCACTGCATCTATTTTCCAGTTTGGCTGATGGCTTTTTCTCTTCTTCTTTTCTATTTTTTTTTCTTTAAAAAATATTCTGTTATGTGAGATGGCTCTCTGATAGGGGAATGAGAGGGATACAGAAGGAAATCTAAAAGACGTAAAAACAAAAAGACAGCAACAAAAATATTTTTTAAATGAAAACATCCATGAAGTGTCCTGTAATTAAAACTAAACTACTTTTTAAGAAGTGAGCACCTACTTTAGAAAAATTTTATCAACACATTAAACTTCAACCACCAGAGGCCAGAGGGCCAAGTACCGGCTCTGGAGGTGGAAGGCCCAGATTGGATCCCAGTTCCACCAGCCTGGGCCCTTCTCCTCTCTGGGCCTATCTGCTCATCAGTCAAGGGGGGGGGTGGGAGGAGGTAGATGAGAGGAGCTCTCGGGCTCCTCCCAACTTGAAATCCTATGAACAGAAGTCTGTATTCTGGAAGGCATGACTGATGAAATCACAGAGCCAACCAACAATTTTTTTTTAATTGAAGAGGAGAAAGGTGAAGAATGAGAATCTATTCATAATGGTGACCTGTCTCCAAGAGTCCCATTACAAAATCCAGGTGACACAATTTAGCTCACACTTGGTTTGTACCAGCCTTAAATAACTGTCAAAACCCATCCCCACAGAAGTCACTGGGCCCCAGTGTCCCCACACTTCTCCTTCCTTGTCACGTTCCCCATCCCTTCCAAGCACCCCACACTTCTTTATCTACTGCCTCCCGAGTCATCTTCCCAAGAGCACCTGAACGCCACTCGAGGCAGATTCCCACCAATCCAAACAATGGGAGGCAGAGCTCAGCAACTTTGTGGGCCAATTTCTTGGAAACTCTCCTGGGTTTCTTTTAGGCTCTCACTGCCCATGTAAAATGGGCATCCCAGATAGGAACAGCGCCGCCTTCCATTACTCAAGAAGCATGCATTACCCTGGTCAGGAGGGATTGGCAACGGCTCCCTAGAGAAGGTGGCACTGGAGCTGAGCCTCAGGGAAATGAGGGAATCTGAGGTGAGAAGGTCAGCGCAAAGGCACAGAGGTGGGAGATGAGGCCATGTGTTTAAAGAGTGGCTTGGCTGGGCTGAGGTTTCCAGTCTAGAGGGAAGCAGGGCATAAGAAGGCCAGAAGGGCTGGATGAGGCCAAGCTGGGAAAGGCTTCGAATGCCACGCAGCAAGACTTCTATTGGATTCGAAGCAAGTGTTCATCACTCTTTTTGTGGCATGGACTCAGCACAAAACAAACTACTGAGGACTAAAAAGGAAGCCAACGATAACAGAATGGAGAGATGAAAATGTACAAAAAGCAAGTTCACAGGTGCCTGCTCCAGAGCTGAGGGAGAGCCAGGGGAGCTTCGGAAGCAGCAGAATGAGCAGGGCTGCTGGGGTCTGCACTGATCCTGTGGCCCCGGTCACAAGCTAGGATAGAAAAACCAAAGACAAGCAGGAGGGAAAATGGGATCACTTCACCTTCACTGGACAGTTCCTGCTCAATTCCTTTCCCTTCAAGTAAAAATTAATTCTCAAGTCTGACTGCTAAAGTTTCCAAATGAGCCTAAAAAAACATAAAAAGTCAAGGAAGGACAATCCCCAAAGAGCTCCATCAGCCCCCAAGCAGTCAGAGTATTACTGAGGGCAGCTGGGTGGCCCTGTGGATAGAGCTCCAGGTCTGGAAGACCGAAGCTCAAATCCAGCCTCAGTCACTTCCCAGCTGGGTCACCCTTATTTGCCTCAGTTTCTTCATCTGTCAAATGAGCTGAAGAAGGAAATGGCCAACCACTCCAGCATTTCTGCCAAGAGAACTCCAAGTTGGGTCACCAAGGACAGTTGGACACGACTGAACAATAACACGCTGGAGTACCGCTAACAGGTCTCCCGTGCTTCCTCCTCACGTTCCCTGAACCCAAACCATACAGGCTTCTCCTAACGAGGCTTGTCTGAAATGAGAGGCAGCAGAGTGCAAGGGCTTGAAAGCTGGCCTTGAAGCCAGAAGGACCTGGGTTTCAGGACCGTCTCAGACGCACAGTGAGAAAGTCCCATTTTCCGTGGGCACCTCTACAGTACCCCAGGCTGCTCTCGAAGAGACTAAATTGCCAGGTAGGTGCCAGCACAAAGTGGACAGAGGAATTTCCCACACCCATGAAATCACAGGTCCACAATTCCCTGGCCCACTAAATGTTTATCATTGTGGAGGTGGGGAACCTCCTCTCCAACAGTTGTGAAATGGTGGCAAATATTCCTCCTCCTCCCCATGGCACTCCACAGAATGGAACCAGGGAGTAGCAAATCACTTCCTTTTTCTAAGACTACTGCCGCTTTGTCAAAGCCCAACCCTGAAGAGTTCTCTAATCAAGCACCTCCCAGGGAAGAAAAAATCGTTTGGAGTTTGTTTAAAAGGAGCACTGACACTGCCGAGCACGTCCTGAAGTTCTGAGCTCCCCAGTTCATTCGTCCTCCTCAGACAGCGTTCCTCATGTTGGGGGGGTTACACCAGGGGACTTTTATGTGGGGAATCCCTCTGCTCCTGAGGAACCGAGACTGTCAGCAAAAGACTTAAAAGCCACACTAGTAAATGCACCCTGATGGAATACATGAATCATCCCTGACACGCCAAAGGACACAAAATACCAAAATAAAACCAGAAAAAGAACCAGCAAGCTCAGCTAGAAGAAAGAAACTTGCTCTTGACTTGTAAACTTTCTAATTCTCCCTACACCAGTGAATGTAAAGCCATCACTAGACAGGAAAAGGAAAACACCCTCTGGAAGCACGGCATCAGGAGAGCCCAGCACAAGCGGTGCCAACAGACCTTCTCAAAGGACAATTTCACAACAAGGGTCAGGCTTCCTATCCTCTTGACCTCCAACAGTGGACCTGGGTCCTTTTTCAATGCACTTTCCCCTATCATCCTGACATTCGTCCTCATTTTTCAACAGCAGGCCTTTTTGCTCCAAATTGAATCTGGGGGGTAAAGATTCACTTAACCCAGTTCAATCCAAGGAGTGTTTATCAATCGCCTACTCTGTACACTTGTACCCTTGTGGCAAAGAGGTCCTGGAGTTGGCGAGACCGGGCCACAAACGCTGCCTCAGACACATCCTGGGCAAGTGGTACCAGCCAAAGGCTCCCAGGAGCTCTCTAAGACTAGCTGAGAAGTAGTTGTGATCTGCACCGGTGGAGGAAGTTTTCTCAGCGGGAGCTCCCCATACCCATGAAATCACAAAACGTGTAAAGCCCTTCGAGGGATGCTAAGGAGACCCTGCCCTCAACAAGGGGGCTGACACTGTGGAGGGCATAACTTGGGTAAACTTCTAAATAAAAGCTGAGAGGGGAAAGAAGAGATCACAAGAAATCCGCCCACCCCGAGGAGGTGGAGGAGACTTTAAGAGGCAGAAAGTAAAGGGGTGCATTACGAGCTAGGGAGACAGTCTGTACAAAGTATCGGAAGCGGGGAATGCAACACCAAGTCTGGGGAACAGGACCCAGAGCAGGCCTCCTGGCATGTGCAGTGTGTGACATGTGTCTGTGAAGGCAGGCAGGCTAGGCTGGCATCGTGGGAGGCTGAGACATCTGTTGTATGCCAGAGACACTGGAGCAGGAGTTGGTAAAGACCAAAACCTCTTGAAGATAAACTTTTTGCTCCTAAACCCCCAAACGATCTGAAAACTGCCGAGGCAAACAAACGACCCTTAAAGACAAGTGGCTGGAGTGCCCCCTCCTCCCCCCACCCGGGGATGCCCCCAGCCCCCCGCAGAGGGATCGATGACCCACGGGAGGCGCTGATGCGGCCCCCTGCCCTCGGCCGGCTCCGCGATGACACCGGGACGCTCCGCGCGGCGGCCCGCGGGGGTCCGGCGCCCCCTCCCACGTCTGGATCCCAAAGCACTCGCCAAAGCAGAACAAAGACGCCTTTCTGAACTTTCTGGACGGGATCGCGCTCTCGCACAACTCCCAGAACTCCCGGGCTGCGGGTCGGGGCGGTGCGGGCCGCGACCACCCACCCGGGGCGCAGAAGTGGGCCGTGCCCCTCGGGGGGCGCCACACCGGGTGACCCCCGAACCTGCCCAGGGACCGGGGCCGGACGCCCCCCGGCCCTGCGCCCCGCCCGCCCACGACCCCTCCCCAGGCAGGGTCCCGGGCTGCAGAAAGGTCTCCCGGCCCAGCAGGGGCTCTCGCCATTGCTCGGGGAGGCCGGGGGGAGGGGCCGGCCCGGGCTTCGGACCCCAAAGTTCCGGGCTTCGAGTCATGAGGCCGGTGTCCGAGGGGCTGGCGGGGGCACGGCGAGGGCAGAAGCCTGGAGGCTGGACCAGGAGCCGGGGCCGGAATGGGGGCTGCGGGCCTTACCTGAGGCGGCGGCGGCGGCGGGTGCGGGGCAGGAGGGGCTGTGCCCTGGCCCGGCCCCGGCCCCCGCCCCTGTCCCGGCCGGGCCCGGGCCCCAGGCGGGCGGACGGGCGGCCCCACGGTCGGGGCGGGCGGCTCGGCTCAGGCTCGGGCGCAGGCGCGGACACGGGTCCGAGGGTCCGAGGGTCCGAGGGTCCGGGTCAGGGGCCAGGGGTCCGGGTCAGGCGAGCTCGGCCTTCCCTCCCTCCTCGGGACGGCGGCGGCGGCGGCGGCGGCGGCGGCGGCAGCGGGAAGCCGGGAGTGGGGGCGGGGCCGGGCCGGGAGGGGCGGGGCCGGACCGGGTCAGGGGCGGGGCCAGGACGGCGCGCTCTCGCCCAGGGGTCAGCGGGGCAATTACCCGGATGCACTCGCGGCCCCGCCCCCGCCCGGCCCGGAGGGGGGCGGGGAGCGCAGGAAGGAGGAGGGGAGGTTTGAGCGCTTGGCCGAAGGAGGGGCGGGGCGGGACCAGAGGAAGGGAGGGACAGAAGGAGGGACGGAAGGAGGGACGCTGGGGCCCGGAAGAGGGCCCGCTAGGGGTCAGGCCGACCCGGGAGGGTCCTGACCTCCTCAATCGCGAGGGAGGGGGAGGGGAGCCCCTCCCGGATCCTGCGAGGGCGTTGGTACCCCCCGCGGTGATTGTCACCCCTCTCTCCTGTCCCAAGGTCGTGGGCACACAGCTGTTTGCCTGTTGTCCCCTCCCTTAGATTGGAAGCTCCCTGAGGGCAAGCACCGGGTTTTTTGCTTTTCTTGGTCCTCCATGAACTGATGCCACACTCTCTGCTGTTTTGGCTCATATCACCCCTCTAAAGCACCAAAATGAACCAGTTTGCCATCGCCTCCAAACACAGCCTCCTGCGATGCCCTCGCCCTCCCATGCACCCATTCTCCACACTGCCCCCTCATCTAGAATGCGCTCCTCTCTCCTTCTCTGGCACGTGCCAGAACCCAACTCCAATACCCCCCCCCCAAACCTCTAGGGCCTCTGTCAGTGACAGGCCAGACTCGCGTCAATATCTTACACCTGCCCGTGCCCGGCAGTGCCGGGCGAAGCGGAGGTGCTTCCTGAATGCACGCTGATTGTGTAAGTGGTTGGTATGCAGCAAGTGCTTCATAAGTGCTGGTCAAAATGAAATGGAGTGAGCCGACTGCCCGACGTCACATCCAATATCAGAGCTTCTAGTCCCTCCTGACACACATAATAGTGTGTATTCTAGCTGTTGGTTGGCATCTCCTCCCACTCCCAGGCTGTTAGTGCAGAGAAAACAAGGACCGGGTCTTAAGTAAACCTTGTATCTCGTGAAGTATCCTAGCTCAGCGTATCTTCATAAGTACTTGTTGAGTCAATGAGATGAATGAATAAAAAATGAGTTTGCTGTCAAGAATTTACTTTGCACCTTGGTTAAGTGGGTTGTGGGTTATGAGCCACAGATTTCAAATCGTCTCTAGAGCTGTGGTGACAGACAAACTTTAGCAAGCCAGTACTTCTCTCTTTATGGTTTAAAAAAAAAGAGAAAAGGCAATTGGTTCAATAGGGGAGTATGAAAAATTATCTTTCCCAGCTGTGGTTAGGGGAAAAATTCCTAACCAGCTATGGCATAAGTGAAAGTATAAAAGACAAAATAGATTATTTTGATTATATAAAAGATAAAAAACATTGCACAAATAGAAGCAATGCAGCCAGAATATCACGAAAAGATGTGGAGTGGCTAAACATATTCACATTAAACATCTCTGATAGAAGAGGGACATTCAAAAATCTGCAGTGAACTGATACAAATTTGTAAGATGAAGAGCAACTCTCCATTAGATACAGGGTCAAAAGTTCTAAGATAGTTTGAGAAAGAAGAAACACAAACTATTAGCAACCATCTGGGAAAGTTCTCAAACTGGCTAATAATCAGAGAAAATTAAAGCAAGTCTGAGATTTCATGTAACACCTGTCATATGGGAAAAGATGAGGAAAAAAAAATCTGGTTTTGATAGAGCTATGGGAAAACACGCATACTCATCCCCTGCTGTTGCCACTGTCTTGGCAATTGTCTGGGTTCACCAATTCTGAGCCAATCTCAAAGCATCTATTAAGGCCTCTAAAAGCTCTATTGTGTAGTTTTTTGAGATATATAAATATATGTGCTTTTGTTCAGTTGTTTTGCAGTTGTGTCCAACTCTTCATGATTCCATTTGAGGATTTCTGGGCAAAGATACTCCCGCTCATTTTACAGATAAGGAAAGTGAGGCAGAGTTAAAGGACTTGACCAGAGTCACACAGCTACTAAGTGTCTGAGGCTGGATTTGAACTCAGGAAGATGAGTCTTCCTGACTCCAGACCTGGCACTCTATCCACTGCACCACCTAGTTTCATGTGTGTGTGTGTGTGTGTGTGTGTGTGTGTGTGTGTACATATATGCTTACTATGTGCCAAGCACCTTACTAAACACAGGGATTACAAATAGAAACAAAAAAGAAAGACAGGCCCTGCCCTCCAGTTTATATTCAAATGAGGAAAGGCAACATAGCAGAGTCCAGAAAGGACTGAAGGACTGAACATGGGCCTGGGCACTTTCTGAGATGAAGTAATCAGTGAGAAACAAAGGGGCCCCAGGGCAGACTGACCCTCCAGGGTGAGGAGGCCACTGGACAATGGTGAAGAAAGCAGTCCAGAGACTTGGGAACAGACCCCAGAGAGGAATAAAGGAATGAACACGGCTGGCCCGTGGCCCGGGCACTCTCCTCAAAATGGAGCTTCTGGGAAAAACTGACTAATTAGAGGAAAGGGCTTGGAGGGCAGAGTCATCTTCCAAGGGGAGAAGGTTATTGGGGCTTGAGGAAATGTGGAAAGGCAAGAGCAGAGCCCAGAGGAGAATGGAAGAGAGAACATACAGCCAGTGAGCCCAGCTTGAAGGGCTTCACCATGATTCTACAGAGCTGAGTCACTTTGAGCCAACCAAGCAATGCTGAGCCCTTGGAGCAGAAGCAAAAGTATGCTGCTCCTGGCCCCTGCATCAGAGAGGCTTCAGTAATTGCAGCCAAAGATGAGCGGTCTCTACACATAGGAGGTTCTGAAAAAGGATCTACTTTAAAATATGCAAAATCAGACAGTCTGATACCTCAGTGGATCCATGATCTGCACTGGTACTGATCCCAGCTGATCCATGCCTTCTGGTCCATATGAGTCATGCCCATGCCTTTTCACTTAAATTCTGCTGGTATCGGAGCCAAGACCTGAACCCCATAATCATGATGAGTTGCTTTTGTCTAGAACAGGGCTTCATGACCTTTTTGGCCAGTTTGTTGAAAACTACAGACCCCTTCTCAGAATAATGTTTTTAAATGAATGAAATTCATAGGATTACAAAGGAAACCAGGGATACAAGGGTGTCCCACAAGTATTAGTGCAGTTTTAAAGCATTCAAGAGTAAAACTGCACTTAAGACTTTGGGGGAACATTGTATTTAAATACAGTTATGAATATATTAAAGCAAAATGTTTGTGGACACCAAGTTGAGAACCCTTGATTTCCAGAACATTTTTAGAATTTGCAGCACTTTTCAGATCCTGTTTGATAATGACTAGCTAAATGGGGTTAATCATATTTGCCAACAGATAGGAACTGAAACTCATTTCCTATTTTTTAACTCTCGTACTTGAGTTGCGTCTGATTTTTCATATTGACCCACACAGAGACGACATTTCTATTAAGTTTTACTATTTGCTACTAATAACCACAGGAGTCTTGAGTGGCTGGTGAACTTGAGTGGCTAAGTCTAGAGTTTAAGGTCTCCCACTAGTCTAGCTACCTTCCTACCTACTCTTCGAGTTTTATTTTACATCATTCCCTCTCACCTGTGGCTCCGAGAAGCTGCAGCACGCACAGCAGCCACACTCAGGTAAACCGTCCCAGCAGACAGGCTAAACCAGGTGGACGGTAGGCAACAGGTCTCAAACATGTCAGTGAGTTTGGGGGATGTCTGCCCCAACCATGTGAAAACTTCCTCCGGTGGAATGGGTGGATGGAAACAACCAATGACCGTGAAGTTGGCGGAAGCAGACTCTGTGGAGCACTTAGAACTTGGTCAGACATCAAAGAAGATGCCAAGGTCATCATCTGCAAGCCGGTGCCTTGCCAGCCATCTTGACTTTGTCTTGCCTCAGGAGTTCAATGACTCTGAAAGAGAGAGTCAGGCTGATGGCTTTGTGCAACTCTGCCTCACTTAAATCTAATTCACATCCAAGTCAAGACATCACCCTATCAGGTCACTGGTCCTTTTTGAAAACAAAAGACAAGTAACATGGAGCTAAGTTCTCCTAGAGAATCCTAGCACCCCCTAACTGGTCCTCTCCAACAAATTGTTTTGCCTAGTTGTCGAAACAATGATGCCATGCTTGTGCAATATCCTTATTAGGGCAACATTGATCAAAACACTGAGTATATCACAAACCTGTTCACTTTAACTCCCTATACAGAGCAATATGGAACCATACAAGAAAAGTTGAAAAATTGTCCATACTTTTGAACCAGCAATCCAGCTATCTGTCCTAAATCTCAAGGAGGTTTTTGCTAACAAATGTGCGTGTGTGTGTGTGTGTGTGTGTGTGTGTGTGTGCAAAACTATTCATAGCAGTACTATTTGTAATAGCAAGAAATTAGAAACAAATTTTAATTTTCATTTAGTGGTTGAGGAATGGCAAAATTAATTGTGGTACATGAATGTAATGAAATATTATTGAATTATAAAAAAAATACTAAAAATCTCTAGTGTAACCCCTGTCCCAAAGTCCATCGACGTGGGATTCTCTCTTTATTGGTGGAAATGAATGCACTGTCCTGCACATGGGGTGGAGCAGAGTTGGTGAGAGATGAGAGCTTCAATTCTCAGTGAGTTCCCCTTTGGGGGCTTTCCAAGTATGAGTCTTCTTGGAGTGTATTTTCCCTTGATTTCCAGAACATTTTTAGAATTTGCTTCTAGGTTCAAAAGAGAAGATGGGAGAAGCCAACACCTCCTTCGGTTGCTAAAGGAAAAGAC